TCTCTCTCACACACACACACACTCTCTCTCTGACACACACACATACACATTCTTTCTCATACACATCTGTCGTGTGCACATACATACACTAACACACCCACACACACCCATTCTGTCTCTCACACACACAGTGTATTTTAGTCATTAGCCTTGAAATGTAAACTTACATGAAGTTGTTACCTTTACTTGAGCAACACAAGGGCCTTAGAGTGAGGTGGCTGTAACTCTAGTCACACCCACTTCCAGGTTACATGTGACTGTGGATGATCTGAGCTCTGTTTTTTCGACTCTCACCAATCTGACTACCTTTCACGTCAGTGTGTTAGGTTTACCCAGTCTGTAACTCTAATCTCTTTACCATCTGTCTTGCATCTTAGACTTTGCTTCCTGGGTCATTTTCATCCGTTCTCAAGGATGTCCTTCAGAGGTTTCTTTAGTAAGGATCGGGTCAGTTGGTAACTTTTCTCAGTTTCAAGTTAGCTGAAAATGTTTTTATTTCACTCATTCTTGAGCTACAGTTTTGTTAGGTATAAAATTCTGGGTTGATATTTTATTTCTCCTCTTCCTTATCTTTTTCTAGCTGCTTTATTTAAATAAAGTTGGTTGTAATTTACTACAGTAAAATGCACCCATTTTTATTGTTCCACCTCTTGATGCTGTTTTCCCATTGTCTCTGGCTTCTGTTAGTATAGTGAGGAGTCTGATGGGCCTCCTGGTTTCTGGTAGTAAAGCTGACTTTTTGCTCTGCTGCATTACACGTGTATTCTGTGACATTACATGTGTCGTTTCACCTACCACCTGTCTGTCATTTTGTTGGACTGTGGGGGCTTGCATGTTGCTGTGATGCTAGAGGCTATGCCACTGGTATTTCGAATACCACTCATAGTGCACAGGTTTCAGCAGAGCTTCAGACTAAGACAGGGTAGGAAGAAGAATGTGGCAGTTCACTTCAAAAAAAATTGGTCACTGCAACCCTTAAAAACAGCAGGGAAGCATTGTCTTATATAGTACTGGAAGACCTGGTGAATAGCCCTGAAACATTGTCTGATACAGTGCTGGAAGATGAGCCCCTCAGGTCGGAAGGCACTCAAAATACAACTGGGAAGAACTGCCTCCTCAGAGTAGAACTGACCTTAATGATATGGATAAAGTAAAGCTTTTGGAACCTTTACTTGCTGATGTAGGGTGACTGAGAATGGGAAGGAACAGCTGCAAACATCCATTAATAATCAGAATGTGAAATGTACGAAGTATAACTATGAAAATTGGAAGTTGTCAAAAATGAAATAGCATGCACGAAAATTGATAGCTTAGGTATTAGTGAGCTGAAAGGGACTGGTTTTGGCCATTTTGAATCAGAGTCATATGATCTACTATGCTTGCAATGATAGATTAAACAAGAATGATGTCACATTCATCGTCACAAAGAATGTTTTAAGATCTGTCCTGAAGCACAGTGCTATAGTGAGGAGATAATATCCATATGCCTACAAGAAAGACTGGTTAATATGACTGTTGTTTAAATTTATGCATCAACCACTAAAGCCAAAGATGAAGAAATTGAAGATTTTTACCAACTTCTGCAGTCTGAAATTGACCAAACATGCAACCAAGATGTGTTGATAATTACTGATTATTGGAATGAGAAAGTTGGGAATAAGGAAGAATCACTGGTAGTTGGAAAATCGTGGCCTTGGTGATAGAAATGACATTTGAGATCACATGATAGAGTTTTGTAAGACCAATGACTTACTCATTGCAATTACCTCTTTTAAACAACATAAATGGTGATTATACATGTGGATCTCTCCAGATGGCATATGCAGGAATCACATTGACTCTATCTGTTGGAAAGAGGTGATGGAGAAGCTCGGTATCATTAGTCAGAACAAGGCCACAGGCCGTTTGTGGATCAGACCATCAGTTGCTCATACGCAAATGTAAGTTGAAGCTGAAAAAAAATTAAAATAAGTCCACGAGCCAAAATATGGTCTTGAGTATATTCCACCTGAATTTTTAGAGACCATCTGAAGAATAGATTTGATGCATTGAACACCAGTGACAGACCAGATGAGCATGATGTCTTGAACATCATACGTGAGTAAAGCAAAAGATCATTAAAAAGACAGGATGAGAAGACCAAAATGGCTATCAGAAGAGACTCTGGAATTAGCTCTTGAATGGAGAGTAGCTAAAATGAATGGAAGAAATAGTGAAGTAAAAGAGTTGAGCAGAATTTTTCAAAGGGCAATTTAAGAGGACAGAGTAAAGTATTTTAATGAAATGTGCAAGGACCTGGAGATGGACAATCAAAGGGGAAGAACACACTGAGCATTTCTCAAGCTGGAAGAACTGAAGAAGAAATTCAGGCCTCAAGTTGGAAAACTGAAGGATTCTGTAGGCAAAATACTGAACAATGAAGGAAGTATAAAAAGCAGATGAAAGGAACATACAGAGCCACCGTGCCAAAAAGAATTGGTTGATATTCAACCATTTCAGGAGATAGCATATGATCAAGAGTCTGTGGTATTGATGGAAGAAGTCCAAGCTGCACTGAAGGAACTGGCAAAAACAAGGCTCCAGAAATTGATGGAATATCCATTGAGATGTCTCAGCAAATGGATGCAGTGCTGGAGGTGCTAGTTGTTTGTGCCAAGAAATTTGGAAGACAGCTACCTGGCCACCCGACTGGAAAAGATCGATATTTGTGCTCATTCCAGAGAAACATGATCCAATAGAATGTGGGAATTATCGAACGATATTAATACCACATGCAAGTAAAATTTTGCTGAAGATAATTAAAAAATGGTTGCAGCTGTACATTGACAGGGAGCTGCTAGAAACTCAAGCCAGATTCAGAAGACATGGAACAAGGGATATCATTGCTAATGTCAAATGGATCGGGACTGAAAGAATACCCTGTGTATTATTGACTGTGTGGATCATAGCAGATTATGGATAACATTGAGAAGAATGGGAATTCCAGAGCACTTAATTGTGCTCACGAGGAACCTGTACATAGACGAAGTGTCAGTCATTCAAATACAAGGGGACACTGCCTAGTTTAAAATCAAGAAAGATGTACTTCAGGGTGATATCTTTTCACCATACTTACTCAGTCTGTATGTTGAGCAAATAATTTGAGAAGCTGGACTATATGGAAAAGAATGTGGCATCAGGATTGGAGGAAGACTCTTTAACAACCTGTGATACGCAGATGTCACAGCCATGCATACTGAAAATGAAGATGACTTGAAGCATGTACTGATGCAGATCAAAGGCTACTGCCTTCGATGTAGATTACACCTCAACATAAAGAAAATGAAAATCCTCCTAAGT